GGGGACCATGAGGGGTGCTGAGTGGCCCTGCAGAACCGGTGGCAGCACGTATGTGTGCCCAAACCCAGCCACCTTGTGGTATAGAAGCCATGAGCAGTGGCCTGAGGTCGCTAAGGGGGAACGGCTGCCACTGTGTACGAGCGGGTGGCAGCCGCTGTCCCCTGGAGACGGGAGGACAGAGCTCTGGGTCCTCCTGCGGGGAGGGCATCCCCACCACTGCCTGCCACTCACCCATACGCCCTCCTCGTTCTACTTCCACACTGCAGAGATGATGAAATCAAGGATGTGCGGTGCAGTCAGGACCCGGCCTGAGCCTGGCACCGTGGCAGGAAGGGTGTGAGCTGCAGCCTGTGTAGCGGTGTGCATGTCCCTGCGGCCCTTTACTGGTCCTGCACACACTGGGTGTATGCTGGGCACCTCCTTCGCCAAATGCTGAGACCCAGTGGGGCTCACTTAGGCGTCAAGTTCTCGGGAAAGATGACCATCAAGAAGGAGTTGCATCCCTGGTTTGATGATGTCCGGGCAGGGGAGCCCAGGATGCCAGGAGAGATGGCCATGCGGAGGAGCTGTGGGCAGGCGGCTTGGCTGTCTCCAGGCAAGGTGACATCATCGTGCATCTGGGCAAAGGACATGGTGGTGGGGGTTGGGGACACCGGCTAGGATGCAGAAGCGGAGCTCAGAGATGGGAGGTGAGGGTGTGCTGGGCCACACGGAGAAGCTGCCTTGGAAGAGCAGAGGGCAAGGAGGAGGACAGGGCAGACGCTGCCGCTGCCTCCAGGTGGAGCCTCAGGAGCAAGCAAAGGGGGAACCAGGGGAGAAAAACAAACCCTGTCCAGCGTGGAGATGACCTTGGTCGGAGCAAAACGCCTGGTGCCCCGGGAAGCGGGGAGCAAAGCTGACAGCCACTTAGTTTAGATAAAAGAATCTGCTAATAGAGAAGCCTCTGTGGTCTACTTTTAAACATGCCCCGGTTGGTTTGTTGTTTTAGTTTTCTTCATTTTGAGGATGATGTTTTTCCCAGAGCATATATATGTGTGTAAGGGGGTGTGGATTAAAATTCTAGAAATCCATAAATATGCACGGTCAAGTATATGTGCATTTATGCATGCACATCAGGGTTAGTCTCAGCAGGGTGTAGATGTGAGGCTCTTTCACAAGGGAGCTGGTGATGTGAGCAATGTGCCCACCCTGCCCTGATGTCTCTGGAGCCCTGTGCTGTGCAGGTCATCATTCCACTAAGTTCTGAGGAAGAAGAAACATGTGGGGCACCACACTCAAGGCCATCTTCATTTCCTACCCCTGAGCATGCAGGAGAATTTAACACATATGCTATATGATCTTCTCCGCACACCCACAAGAAATCAGTCTCTTTGAACTAATAGGTTTATTAAGCTCCTCAGCATCCTTGGGGAGAAGTGACAATTTAAAATCTGCACTAACAGTCCTAATGCTGTCTGGCTTCTTAATCATCCTAGAAAATGTTTAACTACAGAGGAACTAACCCCTTGCGATTTTGGAGATGATTTCCTAAAATCATAGGAAACCGAGCTTCCCATGACAGAAGTCACTTTAGCACAGTGAGTTCAGGATCCATTAGCATTTCCGATCGCATTTTGAGAAGCTGTCTCAGTAAATTGACTACATGTTTTTCGGGATACAGAAGTAAAACTCATGAGTCACACACTCGATGCTGTGGGGAGCAGTGAGCTCACCTCACCTCATGTGGCATAAAAGCAAAGGAGGCAAGGTGAAAATGAGGGAGCAACATAAATAGAACCCTGAAATCTGGAGAAAGTGAGTGGCCAGGCCTGCTCTATTCTGGCTCAAAGCCACTGCTGCAACTGTAAGGGTCCCATGAGTCCTGCAATTATTTTTACTCTTAGCAGAAACAAAACCGTGTTCAATCTCTTGAAGGAAAATAAATTTGCCAATGGTTTAAACAGCTTAATTTGGCACTGGTGGAGAAAGAAATGTGAAGGTACCGGTTCCTCTAGCCACAGGGAAGGGACCTCAGCTCCTGGATTGGCTCTACTGGGCTCCCTGACCCACCTCCGGGGCTCCCCACCATCACCGGGGTCCTCGCTCCCCTGCCTACTCTCTCGGGCTTGAGCCCCAGCTCCTCCACTTGCGGCCACCCCACTTGTTTTCCCAGCAGAATTTGTGTGGCGAGGACGGAAAGTCGCCCATGTGAGCCCTCCATGCACGGGGCATTCTAGGCCAGCTGCCCTCCATCCCCAGGCCCATCCAAAGCCGTCCCTGCTTTGTTTCTCATCCTCATCATCCTGAGACTCCCCAGGTGTGTGCCCCTGATCTCACTGACATTCTCAAGCTGATTATTCATCAGGAAGTCAAACCCCGCAGACTCACAGATGTACAAAGCAGTTGCTTCAATAGGAAAATGCAAAAACGGAACCTGTACAGTCAGAAAGTGTGGATTCACATAGTACCTCAGAAAATTAACAGTAATGATGGCCACAATTATACATATGAAACCTTATGCCCTTTAATTTAATTCAGTGCCAAAAGCATCTTTTCAATAAAACCTTGTTTTTTTCTCACACAAAACTTAATCTTTTGAAGATGTAAACATATTTTGCAAAGTAAACATCACATTAACATATTTAAAACTTAGCCCTTCATTAACAACCAATGTGAACATATTACAGTAATGTATTTAAGTAATAGTCATTGATGTAAGTCTCTGTATGCCTGTAAATGCAAACCTTTGATCACAAACTTGAAAGCATCAAGCACACATACATATTTCCTTGATAAATCACTTCCACACACCTTCTCGACATACCTAGGCCTTCTGGTCTTGTGTATCTCTCTTTATCCTTCTAATAAGACAAACACACAAAATCCTTTCATATCAGAAGTGTATCTCTTCTACTTGCAGCTTTCTTACTATTTTTCTACTATCTCTCTTACTATAAATTTTCTATAACAATCTTGCCTTCAGCTGTTAAAATTTTAGTGTCCCTTTTTTCATCAACAAAGTACAGAAAAGAGCAAGTTAACCCTATAATTACAATTCAAGAATTTGCAATGCACAAGAAATGTTTTATGCACACCGATTAAGCATCAGCTCAAATTGAAACAATGATAAATTTATCAAATAGTTAAAATTTGTAATTTGATTTCCCTTATAAAATCTCTTGATATCTGGTAGAGAGCAGTTGCAGTTTCTCTGGCTTTGTTTTGGACTTCAGATCTTTGTAGGCAGCATCAGGCTGATAACACAACACTGGCCATCCAGCTCTTAAAGCCAGAAGTGCTTTTTCTCACTGTTTTGCTGTACACCCTTCTGCGTTTTCCTAGCTGTATTCAATGCATTACTTATTTTCTCATTTTAGTTGTTTTAAAGCTGAGTGCAAGCCCTGCTGGACCCTCTCTGGGTCCAACCACAGTTCTCCATCTGCACCCTCCAGTGCAGTAAGGGCAGGCGCATCTTCTCATACTTTTCCCTCACCTCCTCCGCACCTGCAATCTTAGCAACTCAAGAGGAGTGGGAGGCAGCTCGACCTCCTCCAGAGGGGCAGTGCTGGGGTTCGCCTGGAACCATGTCACATTTTCTGAGAGAGTCCCCGTGTGAAAGTCGAAAGATAGGACAAGCAGTTATTCTAAGATGAAACTAAATGCTTCTCACTGGCGGCTGATTCCAGGTTTCCACGGTAAGCAAACTGGCTGCAGATTCGCAGGCTCCACGCTGAGGGGCATCGTGCTAACCGTGGACCTGGCATCTGAGGGGCAGCGTGATTACACAGTGCACACTCACAGGCGGGTGTGTCTCCGTGTGGGCAATGCACTGTGGGCACACTCGCGCCTGCGTCTCCTAACCTCCTTCACCTGCTTGAGGTGAAGCCATCCAAATCTGGGGACTGCACGTGCACAGATCCAACCAAATAGTCCACAACAGCTGTGTCCCCCCCGACATCTGCCTGTGTTTCTCGCCATTATTTTCTACATAAAGACTGTAGCAGCTACACGTAGCGCTCGCCTCACCTGAGGTGTCCTCAGTAACCTAGAGATGACGTACAGTGCACAGGGGCTGCACACACCGCGTCTACGCACACACACTGTGCCCGTCGGACACGGGACCTGGGCATCTGTATATTTTGGTGTCAGGACAGTTTGTGGACCTGGCGGCCCTGTGCACAGCCAGGGCAGCAGTATTCTTTTGTCCAGATTACAGACTGGGAAACTGAGTCTCGCAGCACACCCCCAGCTCTGGGGGCTTCCGGCATCACAGGTCTGGAGGCTCTCCATAACGTGTGTCCTCGGAGGGACTCTTCTCTGCGGTTTTGACTCACAGTGGCCACAGCAGGAGGGAGATGCTCTGCAGCCTCTGACTGTTAATCATGACTTCTTAGAGTGGACTGGGCGCCCTGAGCAGCTTGCTGACCGGCTGTACCTTCTTTTCAAAGATTAGTACACTACTTTCGCGAGACACAATTTTATTCCATTTCGAATCCTCTTGACAGCTCTCATCATCTATCTCACAAACGCATCTGTTCTTTGCCGCGGAAGAAAGTGCCCTGGCTGAGAATTCTGTGGACGGCTGGTGACAGGGCGTGCTCCTGAGCAGGAGGAGCAGCTTGTGTGAATCTACTTCAGGATAATAGAATTGTCAGGTGTCCAAATAGAGAAAGGCAGAGCGTGTCACTTGTCTCCTTCTTTTTTGAAGTGATTCATTGCAATTGAGGTCCTGAGGAGAAGAAAATAAGACATCAGAAGCATATCTTCTCCTATCCATCATTATTAAAGCAGAACTGAAGAGTCAATTGTTTTTGAAAGCCTTTATTTCATCAAGCATAAAGACGGCACTTATATTTGGGCAAAGATAACATTTTCCACATTTAAAGGCAGCTAACACATGGCCTCCGCTTTGAGCATCTCTAAATGAAGACTGTCAGGATCTAATTTTAACACAGATTTGATGTATGACTTTTGCTCTGTTAGTTTACAAGGGATATTTTTCTCCTCTTTCTGTGTTGCAGGCTGACGGGCATGAACCTCCCCTCTCCTGTTATCAGCAGCAAGAACTGGTTACGTCTGCACTTCACATCGGATAGCAACCACCGGCGCAAGGGGTTCAACGCTCAGTTCCAAGGTAAGAAGGCTGCCACTTCGGGGGAGCGGGAGCAGGAGCTGTCCTGCGTCTCTGCCCTAACCCTGTAGGAACTTGCCCTTGGTAGAAAAAGAGATACAAACACATTTGAAGATGCATTGTTCATGTTTTAGGAGCAGCTGTTTTGAAAATTATACAGGCAGCCCCTGACACCCCAGTAGTGAGTTGGAAAGTTTAGCACCAGTATGCAGTGTAGTTTCTTGTCTTGCTAGAAGATTGACTGAGTTTTAATTAGACATATTTTAATGTCTTTGCACCCAACCCGTAAGTATCCACAGTGGTCTGGATGTTGTCTTTATCCACACAGGAAGAGCAGTGTGATATAAAAACTCACGGCAATACACAAGTACATCATAGTGTCATTTTTAGTCCTAAAATCTCCCCTGGATATAAAAGTCCATGTCAGTTGGTCATTTACAATTTCTGAACCGTAACACAAAGATACTGGGCTTTTGTCACTGGTCATCGTGGAGAGTCTGGACTCCCGCTGGTAGTGTGATTCTGAAACTGTCCCTGTAGCGGTATCCAGTGATCATAGGATATATTGTATCATTTCCTATATTTTTCTAACAATCAAATACCATTAATACAACAAAAGGACTCATTTATTGAACGGTCCACCTAAAACCATTCCGTTTCTACTTTGTCAATGGGAATAACACAGATGCCCTCAAAAACATCACAGAGCACAGCTTTCAAAGTCCTTCTGAACCTGGAGGGTGAGGGTACAGCTGGGATGGCACCCTGAATGCACTACCCAGGGGCCCAGTTCAGAAACTGCAGGGCAGAAAGAGTTTGCTATTTGCAAATAATTCCCAAGAAACTTGGGCCACAGGAAAGCCATCCCAGTTCCCTGTGAAGATTCTAGCAGCCTCTCAACAGATTGGTCTGTGTATCTCGTATCTCTCACATTTTAAAATCCATACCATGTGCACAGCCACTGATTTTCCGTGGATGGTCAGAAAAGGTGGTGCAGGTGGAAGAGACAAGGGAGTGGCTGAGGGCAGCAGCTGCACTGCCTGCTGGAACAGGGCACAACTTGTGTCTCCAGAGCATGTCCTCTCCCTCATCACCAGCTCTGCCCACCTGCCTTTCTTTCTGGTGTTTCCAGAAAGTTCTTACCTTATCCCTTTGGACTGCACAGATACCCCTGAAGATTTATAGAAGAGGAATGAGGTGTTTTTCCCTAATCTGGGACTTCCACGAGGCCCATCCTTTCTTTCCAGAACCAGCTCTGCCTTTTTCTTTTGAGGCTGCATCCTCTCAGGTAGCCAGGATACAGAATAAGAGGAAGGGACATGGACAGAGGGCAGTGTGTCCCCCAGGGCAGGGGACAGAAGAGCGCCCCCTGCAGGCCGCTGGGGACTCCTCTGCTCCCCCACTTCTCCCTGTGTAGCCCGCAGGATGAAGGGATCTATCCAGTCCACAACTCAGCATGCGGGACGTGACAGACGGTTTCCCATTTTGTGGATCTGTGGACTTGTCTCTAAAGTGCCAACTGATCCTCTCCAAGAGCCCTCTTAGTCTGTCAGTGTCAGACTAAGGGGTTATTTCTAAGCGCCACTCTCAGACCCCACGGGGCACTGGGCCTGCACATTCCTGACTGAACTAAGTGTTACAGCCAGAGAACAACGCAGAGGTGCTGGGAACAGGCACTGGGGAGAAAGCACACTGACCCCAGGAGACGACAGGAGCTGGGACAGGTCGGCTATGGTGTGGGTTACAGACAGTATACATGTGTACAAGTTACAGGTAGACAAAGGTGACGTATGTCATTACATACTTATGATTTAAGCACAACTAGGTATCTCATGAAAGTTAGCATGTTGTCTAAGTGCTGTGAAACACATGGAGCTCAGCTGTACATAATATAAACTGTTTATAAAGAGGAGCACAGCATTTTGCTCTGAAGTTGGTATTTACTTAGAGCAGAGTGAGCATATGGTTTTGCACTTCAATGTAACGCAGATAAAACTGCACAACCTGAAAGTGGTGGCCCAGGCTGATGGTCACTGCGTCCGCCTCTCCTGCTGACATGGAAGGAAGAGGGGCTCGCACCAGCCCTGCTGCTCTTGTGTGGCCCTGGGCCCCTTCAACAGGGCGTCTGCCTCCCCCTAGTCCAAGCAGACCTCAGCAGCTGGGGATCGGCGCAGTCACCCTCAGAAGGAGGTCTGTGGGCAACCGTGCTAGAGAGGGACCCAGAGGGCAAGCGGAACGCCCGGGACACTGCCTTTCCCGTTCGGGTGTGAGGATGGAATCACCACCCAGGAATAAGTGCAGCCCGGTGGGGGCTGGGCTGTGGCTGCTCCTAGAAAAGCTCAGGAGGAGTCCCCCAACTACCCAAGAGGCCACTGTGTGAGCTGAACACACACCCAGGGGAGCCTCTGCTGCACGGAAACACGCTCTTTCCCAAATCCGCACCCTGCTCTGGGCCCCGTCTGGACTGAGGCTACCGATAAATAACGAAAGGGCGGGAACGCCCCGCCTGCTTTACCAGCACAAGGGTGACAGGGGAAGCACAGGCGGGGGCGCTGCAGAAACCGGAAAGGCAGAATAAACTGCCGCAGAAGCCTGCGCAGTGCCGGCTACGTCATCGGCTCGTCCTTGCGGACGTCTCGCTCCGAGAAACTGAGTCCTACTTTTGTTTGTGTTGCTGTTTTTAATAGATAAAGGGAACATGGAAGAACATATACTGCAATGTCCGCTGCCTTCTTAGCATTATGCTCATCACACTTACTGCTTAGGGTAACTTTCAGGTCCCAGTTCCTTGTTTTCTGACATAACTTCTGTGCTTTGGGGGACCCCCGCTTCAGCCACCTCAGCGACCCTGCTGACAGCAGGAGTTAGGGTGACTGACAGGTAAAACGACTGTGGCTCGCCCTCCCCCATGAAGTTAATTCACTTTAAAACAGCACTGTGGACAAAAAAAGCTAATGCATAAAGAAATCACTGGGTTCATCTGCAATATCCACTCTTTGTAACAGGCCCTGCTCGAATGATAGATTTGTGTGGGACACATAATTTCTTCAAATCTGCTGAAAATCAAGTCCATTCTTTACGTGTTGCCTGCATCATTAATTATAATTAAACAAGTGCTTTGTTAGCACGATCCATCATCCGGATATTTTTCATGTCTAAAAGATGAATTTATAAAATGTACATTACTCTTGAACCACGAAGGCCTCTTGGCTGCTAAATATGCCAGGGAGCGCCGAGTTCCAGCATTGTATGTGTCCACCTGGCTATTTATGAAATACAGTTTTCAAAAGATGAAACTCCCATTGATTTCTGCCGTAGATAAAGCATTCTGAAGGGAAGCATTGGTCATAAAGCTCCAGTTTAAATAGGGAACGCCCTGTCTCATCAATCAAAGGAGAATCTAATGGTGGCTTCACAGCCTGTGTTGACCCAAGTAATTAGCTCGCCTTTTAGGCTATGGCTCCATATGATCATGGGTTTCCCTTTTCATTGTAAATGGAGACCTTTATTCTAAATAGAGGCTTTCGTGGTATGGAAAATGCATCTGGGTGGTTGAAGGCCGCATGTTCACAGATCTGCTCTGATGTGGATGAGAGCCCACAGGCTGCATGTCCTAAGCTCACACTCTCTTAGCAGAGGCCCGGCGGCCAAGATTAGCCTGAGCGTCCAGTGTCCCGCACTGAGGGCTGGGGGTAGTCTACCTCTGCCTTTACCGTAGGAGCTAAGAGCTGAAATTGGGAACCAGAAGATGGGCAGCAGCACTGGCTGAAGGCTGAGGTACAGCCCGCCCTCGGGCTCCTCCCAACTGCAGAACTAGGAATGGGCTCCAGGGGGCACACTGCTCTCCACAAAGATCATGGGCATCACCTACTCTCATCTGTGTGGGGGCTATTAAGTAGCCACGGTCCCACGTGGCTATTTCTTAACCAAAATAAGTTAGTAAACTGTAATCTTATATTCTCTAAGCAATCCCTAGACCTCTATAAAAAAAGGCCTTTTTAATAAAACTCTGTTTGAGTTAGCCCCACCTCCTGATTCTCCACGGCCTCCCAATGAACCATCAGATTAGAAGCCAGGGATGGGACGACCCGCCTACGAAGTTAGAACTTCAGGATCACCCACTACCCTGAAGCCCATCAGCTGGCGCCCGAGCCGGAAGCACAGGAGTGTTGTGGAGGATGCTCTGGGTGACAGCCCTGAGGGGAACTTGCATCTCAGTGTTAGAGAGGCCTCCGTGTGTGCTGTGCCTCCCACGCTTGCCCTTACGTCTTCACTAAAGCGTCTCGCTAGCCACACCCTTCATGCCTCCTCTGTCTGTCTTCCTCTATCAAATAAGATGAATTTGACCTACCTCAGAGTCACTGTGGATGTGTGATGAAATGAAAGAACCCAGCAGATGCCTCACTCGGCTCACTGTGGTGTGAGCCCATCACCCCACCTGGGCCACCCCACCTGGGCCACTCCACAGGGCCTTCTTCTTATCCCCGGACTCTGGAGCAGGCAGCTTCACCTCCCAGGCGTCCACAAGAAGAAGCTCCGTGTGGCTTCTGACACAGTCTGCATCACTGTAGCCTCTGAAAAGAGGTTTTCCTGTGAAGTGGAAGCCTTCTCCAACTAGGACAGAGCAAGAAAGCAATTAAAGATGCCGGTGAAGCAAATGCAGGAGAGATGAGCTCGCCATTGCCTGCAGCTGGCACTTAGCTTCGGGCCCGCCAGCAGTGAGGAGAGAAGCAATTCCGTCTGTTATGGCAATGAAGCGGTAAGGAAGCAGGGCTTACCCTCTGTCAGCTAAAACACGGACTGGTCCCTTTGGCAGCGACCTTCGGAGCTTCCAGTGTGAGCGACAGTGGGCACTGGAGGATACATGTCTCCACCCAATCAGGCACAGAGGACACCGGAGGCAGGAGAGTTGTCTCCAACCCTCAGCTCTCTTGTTCCTTACCATGGGGCAGTCCGTGATCCTGAGGACGAGATGAAGGTCATAGAGAGAATGCCAGGAAGTC